ATCCATTGCCGGACACGGAAAAAGACAAAAAAAAAAAAAAAAAATCTTCAAGTATAAATATAAATTGGTAAAACAGATTGGATTCATAAATAGAAGTCTTTAAAATGTTCATACATTTTCAACCAATTATCCTACTTCTTGAAACCATAAGCAAATAATCAAAGAAAAAAAATTTTTTTAAATGTGGAAGGCAGTTTTATAAAGGTAAAAAATTGGGAATAAACTGAATGTCCAACAATATGAGAATGGCTAAATAAATTCTAGGCCTCCATAAAATGCAATACAATGTAGTTATTAAAATCATAATTTTAAAGAGTATTTAAGACAAATTTTCAAGATGTCATATTAAGTGAAAAAGCAAGATGAAGAACTGCACTAAAAATAACCACACATGTTTAAACTCTGGCTATACCTCCAAAAAAATGACAGAAAAAATTATTTTTTTATAATTTTTTTTCTGCTAAAAGGGAAATTTATTTAATGTAAGTGCATACATTAATAAAAAAGAAAGGTCTCAGATCAACAATCACCTTTGCACCTTAGGAAACTAGAAAATGAAGAGCCAGCTAGGCCCAGATCTAGCAAAGGGAGTAATAAAGATAATAAAAATAAATAATAATAAAAATTAGGGCATAGATAAAAGAAATAAAAAATAGAGAAAATCAATGAAAGCAAAAGTCATTTCAAAGTTTTCTTGTTCTGTAGGGCCTGGTATTTGAGAATTACTGTATTCTTTTGGTGGTGTCATATTTTCTTGGGTTTTCGTAGTTCTAGGATCCCCACGTTGATGTCTGGTCATCTGGTAGAGCAGTTGCTGCTTCTATTATTCTAGAGTGGGCTTTGAGGAGAGAGACATCCTCTTCTTTTTCTGGTCTCTGCTGGTGACTCTCCTTGTGTCAGTGCAGTCGAGTGTCTGGTGGGTTGCCTGCACAGTGGCTGTGGCTACTGCTATCGAGCCACTTTGTAGCAGCCATGGCTGTGGTGGTGGCTGGGCCACCTGCATGGAAGTGGAGTTTTCATTGCGCTCCTTGCCTGCTTCCAGGTGGCCCTATATTTTTATTGGGATAAAATACATACTGTACACTGTATAAATCCGAGAGCTTGGTGAATGTTTATATTTGTGTACATGTGTGTAATCACACCCGGATATAGAGAGAGATCGTTTCCATCACCCAGGACGTTCTCTCAGATCCCACCCCTTCAATGCCCTTGCCCCTAGTAACAACTACTCTGATTTCTATATTCATTGATTAGTTTTGCCAGTCCTTGAGGTTCATATCAATGGGGTTATACAGTACATATCCTTTGTTATCTGCTTTCTTTTATATCCTGCTACTTGTTCATTTTTTAAATCTTAAGCATTATCTATTAATTTCCCGTTATAAAATAGAAGAATTTAGCTCTCTTTTATTCACTTTCCCCATGCTCACTAAAATCAGTATTCATATTATTAAGGTTGGGTACAAAGACTCCAAAGCGGAGTCTTGAGGTGTGAAATGATTGCAGTTCCTTTCCATTTGTATTTTCCTTGGAGTTAATACTTGTCTTCTTTTCCCATTTGCTTAGCTCTCTGTGTACCTGCCACTAATCCATCCCCAAGCTTCCCACCCTACGTGTCCTTTCAGGACACTCGACCGGGGAGGTATTCCAGGAGTCGTATGTCTCGGAGCCTCGGGTTCTGCTCTGGTCTGGGCAAGTGGCTGGGCCAGCCTCACTGCTGTCATCACCTTCCTCTCATGTTGGGTTCCTGGTCACTGGATGTCATAGCTTCTTCATTTTTAGTTTGCTTCCAGAGAGAAGGTATGGTGGAGGCAAACTTTTGGAGCACTGGCATTTCTGAATATGTCTTTTTCTATCGGCACCCTTGATTGGGAGTATGACTGGGCATAGAATTTCAGATTGGAAACTCGTAAATCTGAATTTTGAAGGTGTTGCTCCAGCGTCTTTGAGCTGCCCGTGCTGCTCTGCCATTCCAAGTCCTGACCTTTTGTATGTCACTTTCTCTCTGTCTCTGAAAACTTGTAGGTTCTTCTGTTTGCCCTTTGTATTCCATAATTTTATGACAAGCTGACTTGTTAACAGTTCTTCTTCCAGAAACAATGTCTTCTAACTGTGGAAAGTTTTCTTACATATTGTACCTGATCATTTCTCCCCTCCCTTTTCTCTTGGCTCTGTTTCTTGAACTCTTGCTATTCAGATGTTGGATCTCCTAGTTTGGACTTCTGATGTTTGTAGTTTTCTGTGTGCCATTTTTGTTTTCTTTTTTTGTTGTTGTTGTTGTCTTTTTCGTGACCGGTAAGGGGATTGCAACCCTTGGTGTGGTGTCGCCCACACTGCGCTCAGCCAGTGAGTGCACCGGCCATCCCTATATAGGATCCAAACCCACAGCGGGAGCATTGCTGTGCTCCCAGCACCGCACTCTCATGAGTGCGCCACGGGCTCGGCCCTCCGTCTTTGTTTTCTTGCTCGACTTTCTGGAAGATGCCCCTCAGCCTTCTCTTTCCAGCCTCCAGACACATTTCTCATTCCTGCTGTCATACATTTCATTCTTAATAGCTCTTTTTTGTTCTCCAAATATGTCTCTTCTATAGCATTTTATTCTTGTTTTGTAGATGCAATATCTTCTCTCATCTCTTTGAAGAGATTAATGTTTTTGTTTGTTTTAGTTTCTCCCTGCTTGCTTCTATTTTTTTTCTGGGTTCCTTTTTCTGTTTTCCCCCATATTACTATCTCTTTCATGTTATAGACTTTCAGAATGTAGTTGATGAGATTTGGTTGTCCATTTGTATTTGAAAGTGAGCCACTAAAAATGTGATTAAGCCCTCTGCGCATGGGTGAAAACTGCTGACTGGTGGGCTACAAGAAAGTAGCGTGATTTAGTTGAGTTCTTTCACTGGGGGACCCCTGCTGCAGTATCCTGAGATGTTTTCTCTTATGCTAGTTGATTACCCAGAAGGCAAATGTACAATCGTTTCCCAGAAGGTCTGATTCTGGCTGCCAGTGTTCTGAGGTCTTTGTGGGAAGTGGGGCTGAGGAGTCCCGATGTATGGATACCAACTCCGTCCCCCAGTTTTCAGCACAGACTCCCACCCTTGGCTGGGCTTGGGGTCCCCCAGCCCAGCGTTCCTGGTTCATCCTTTCCAGAGGATTAACCCTCATCTTCTGCTGGAGTGAGGGGGAGATAGGGAAGTCTGTTTTCAAACTGAAATCCAACCTATGTTCTATTTGCAGCCCAGCCCCCCACACTTTCAGGGGTTCCACTGCCACCAGTTCCAAGCCCATTGCTGATTCTGCGGTGTGTTGAGCGGCTCCTAACCTCTCTGCTGGCTTAGTTTCAGCTTTCTAGGTTTGCTGATTCATCCGCTCATTCATTCACTTTCCAAGTCCCAGGGTGCCTCTGCCTCTTTGTCTTTATGGGTTTATGCCTTTTTGGAACATCCCTTTGTACCATGTATTTAGAAGGAGCAGAGGCCTGCACCTGCCGTCTTGAGCTGGGAGCCTCTGTGTGTTCAGTGTTTCTCCCCGCTCTTTCTTGCCTGCAGCCCGACTTCTTTCAGGCCCCGGGTGCTGTGTTACTCATTTACCCGACTTAAGAACCAAGATCAGATGTGGAGGAAGCTGGGCAAGATGGGGGTTGTTCACAGAAGGCGTGGTGGCCTCTCTGGAGCTGGGAGCACTCCTTTGAGGACATTCGACAAAGTTGTTATATTTTTAATTTTTCTCTCTTATAGAAGAAGCATATAGTCATTAAAGAAAGATTTTGAAAAAGTGAAAAGGAGGAAGATTTTTGTATTGCCTCTGTTTCTACCTCCAAAAGAAATTTGTTCTCACGTTGGCCTGTTTCCTGCTAGTATTTTTCGTTGCCAGAGTTTGGTCGTGACTCTGGAGTAGGAGTGGGTGGAGGGTCTCCTTCCCTGCACCCCCTCGGGGTCTGCCCTGCCCCTCTTCACTTCATGTTCAACTCCGCCACCCGCCCGCCCCTCCAACAATAATCATGCAACACCGAGCTCCCCGCTGGAGGGGAGGACCTGAAAGAGAGCGAGACAGAACAGGTCAGGACGTTCGTGTGGAGCGGTGGGGAGGCGGAGGACAGTGGCACCGCAGAAAGCAAGACACCAAGCAGGACCAGGGCAGCTGCATTTGGAGATCAGGAAGGAGTCCTGGGAGGTGGGAGTGGAGGTTCTGGTTGACAAACATCAGGAGATGAGGCTGGAAATGTGTGTTGGGGCCACATCACAGTAGTATTACTGGATGTGGGGAGCCAGCCATTGAAGGCTTTGGAACAGGGACCCAGCAGAATCAAGGCCACCCTCTAAGAGTTTAGTCTGGGAGGGGTTTCCTCTGGCTCTGCGGCTCTGACACCCTCCCTCCTCCTCTCCCCACCACGTTGGTAGGTGTGGATGACGGTGCCGACATCCCCAGGGAGCTGGTGGTGGGCATCTACGAAAGGATACAGCAGAAGGAGCTCAAGTCCAATGAGGACCACGTCACATATGTCACCAAGGTGGAGAAGTCCATCGTGGGCATGAAGACGGTGAGTGTCCCCTGCAGAGCAGTCCTGGCCACGTGGGGCCACTTCCTCTCCTATCTCCTTACCTTACAAAAAGACATTTCCGTTACTCGTTCACTCAGTGATTATCAAGGGCCTACTGTGTGCCAGGCACAGCCTCCTCTTTCTTCTCTTGCCTGATTTCCTCCTTGCCTCTTTGCCATCAGGTACTGCAGTGGGAGAGACTGAGGCGAGATGTCAGGAAAGACTGCTCAGTGCTCTAGGGCTGACGTATCTGAGGGCCAGATGGGGAGGTCTGGGATGGAAACCAGGCATTCCCGGACAGTCCTAATGAACAGAAGGCAGGTAGGGGGCTCATGAGGCCCTTCAGACCATCGAGGTGCCTGTTAGCTGTGACCTGTCGCGTTCCAAGTGAGCGTTCCCTGCAGGTTGCTACAACCTCTTCCATGTCCACAGAGGCGCTTTGTACCATCCTGTAAAGGATGTCCAGCAGCTTCCAGTTCCTCCTCTCTAAGTTGCTGGCTCAGGGAGCAGTTTGGGAGGGCTTGGGGACCTCCTCTGAGGCTCCATGCTGGGCTCCCTCCACCCGGTCTATGCGGGGATGGCCTTTTCTGCCTTAGAGCTTTATTGCTGAGGCCTTAGCATCTGTCTGGTTTGCAAATGATTGGCTTGTCTTACACACGGGGGTGGATTCGAGGTATCCCTGTAATCCCCTCACTCCTGCTCACTTGCATTTGGGTGTGTTGTAGAAAAGAGGTGGAGGTGTCCTATGTGTAGGCTGCAGCCTGGGACACGGGGACGCCCTCCAGGTCATAGAAGGGAAAGACTGCACAATCTGAAAGTTCTTCTCAGTTCTCTTACCCACCCCGGGTCTCCTCATTTAGTCCAGTAGAAAGAGCCTCTTCCCCTCTGGCCTGGCCCCCGAGTAGCGTGAAGACAGGAAAGGGCCCGGCTGAGGACGGAGGAGGTTCAGGGTCAAGTCTGGGCCCTGCAGTAGGACCAGGGCCCTCCCCTCTTGCTGGGCCTCCACCTCTTCTTCTGGAAAGTGGGTGCTGTGGGGGGCTCAGGTCCTGGCTCCTCCCGCTGAGCGCCCCTCCTTCCAGGTGCTGTCGGTGCCGCACCGCCGCCTGGTCTGCTGCAGCCGGCTCTTCGAGGTGACGGACGTGAACAAGCTGCAGAAGCAGGCCGCGCACCAGAGGGAGGTGTTCCTCTTCAACGACCTGCTGGTGGTGAGCCTCAGCCGGGACGGCGGCGGGAGGGCGGTGCCGGGTGTCAGGCAGCGTGCCCCTCCACGCGATGCTTGCGCAGCATGGGTGTGGGCAGCTCGGGCAGAGCTGGTAACTCCCACTTTGTAAAGGATGATCTGCTCATGGTTCTGCAGTCCAGGTGGAGATGTGCTAGATCCCAGACTACCTTCCTCCCGCTTTGCAGGAAGCCTGGGCAGGGAGGGCCCACGGCAGGCTTGGCATCCCACAGCCCGGCAAGGTGCTGGTGCAGGTGCCGTTATTTGCTCTTCAAAAACAGGCGTCTTATTCGACGATCGCTGAGTCAGTGTCAGCTCTGTGCCGGGCATTGTTCCAGTGCTGGGAAGCAGTGGCGAGCAGGATTTGAGCAGGATCTGCCTTCCCCTGGCACCCCCGTGCTCTCTGTCAATGAGTCATGTCAGCACTACCTTTGAAATGATCCCAAACCTAGGATCTCTCACAACCTCCACTGCCACATTCTGGCAGGGCTGCCAGAGACACACCTGGCTCACGCCCTCCACCCCAGCCTCCGCCTCCAGGGCCCGTGGTCTGCAGAGCGGGGGAGAGACCCTCCTCGAGTGCACGTCGGGCCATGTCTGCCTGCTCGGACCCTATCCCGGCTCCCGCTGCCACAGAAGGATGACCGGATTCCCCTCGGGGGTCCGAAGCCTCTGACTCAGCTCCCTGAGCTCTCCTTGGCCCACGGCTGCCTCCCATGGGCCAGGCCTTCGTTCCTGCTACTGCTTCTGCTTGAAGAGCTCCCCAGACCTCTCTTCGTTCAGCTCCATTCAGATGTCACCTCCTCGGAGAGGTCCTCCCTGCCCACCCAGCAAGGCGGCCCAGACAGCCACTTCTGTTCCTCACCCTATCTCAGTTTCTTCAAAACAGTCAGCAGTTTCTCAGATTACCTTCTTTGCCCCTGTCTTTGCTGTGCTTGTGCCCTTGTGCCTTATTGGTGGGTCGATCGGTTTGCGTCTGCACCGCCTTCCTCAAGGCCGGGCCTCTCTCAGCCCGGCTCACAGCAGGCGCCGAGCGCACAGGGGTTTACTGAGCAACTGGCTGGTTGGGCTTCACTTTAGTAGGCGAGGGAGATAGAAAGTAATTAAGAAAACAATGCACAAGATAATATCGGACTGGGGGAAGGTGCTACGAAGACAGAACAAGGTGATAGGATAGAGGGCGACTGGGGTAAGATTGAGGCTTTCAGTTTGGTTTTGGTTTGTTTTGAAGATGGGATGGTCTGAGAAGGCGTCTCTAAGGAGGTAGCACTGAGCAGAGACCTAAGTGCTGAGAGCCATCAGCCACACAAAAAGCTGCCAGGAGAGTCGTGGACAGGGAGCAGCGTGCGCAGAGGACCTGTGGTGGGCCTGGGCTTGTTCTTCTCAAGCTACAGGACGAAGGACAGTGTGGCTCGAGTGTAAAGCCAGAGTGAGGTGGGGACCAGCTCAGATAGGGCTCAGGGTAGGAAGTGCGGGCTGGCTTCTAAGTGCGGAGGGGACAGCCACTGGCGGGTGTTATGCAGTGAAGAAACCTGATATAGTGTGTGTGTATACGTGTGCACGCATATGTGTGTTGTGTGTTCACAAGTGTCGCTGGGTGTTCTTGCATCCAGGTGTGCACATGCACGCGTACATGAGTGTGCACCTGTCAGTGCATGTGTTTCTCTCTCGACAGATTCTCAAACTTTGCCCGAAGAAGAAGAGCTCCTCCACGTACACCTTCTGCAAGTCGGCCGGCCTGCTGGGCATGCAGCTCCGCCTCTTTGAGAATGAGTGTAAGTCTCTGAGAATGAGTGAGCGACCGGGCATACCACAGCGGGTGGGGGAGGGATGAGGGAGGGGGGCTGGGCTGTAGAGAGGGTGGAGGGGCCGGTGACCCAAAGACCCCACTCCTCCCACGTCCGGCTGGCTCCAGCCCTCGGCTGCTACTGCTCACCACCCGTTGGGGCCCTGGGTCTGGTTTCCAGATTACTCTCATGGCATCACCCTGGTGACCCCACTTTCTGGCTCCGAGAAGAAGCAGGTGCTGCATTTCTGTGCGCTGGGTTTGGATGAGATGCAGAAGTTCGTGGAGGACCTGAAGGAGTCCATCGCTGAAGTGACAGAGCTGGAGCAGATCCGGATAGAGTGTAAGGACCCAGCGCACTTGGCTCTCCCTCCGAGGCAGCCGGCGGGGGTGGGCGGGGGCTCCCCGTCAGCAGCTCGCAGATGGACACAACTCTGGCTCTTGAGAGCAGCCGCATTCTGCCCTTGCCCCACTGGGATCCTCCTACCGCCCTCCTCCATGGCAGCAGTTGGTTGAACGGGGCCCATGTGGGTGTGCTATGCTTCACGGCTCTTCAGTGTTGAAGCAAAGCACATGAGAGTAGACACACGTGTGCACCTCGTGCCAGGCACTGGGGCCGTGGCTGGGGGGTCCCTTGGAACAGAGAACTCTGCCATGTGTGAGCAGGACAGCCAAATGAGCTGACCCGGGCAACCATGCACACGCCAAAGAGGTCCCTGGAGCAGGTGCTTTCCTCCCACCCTCTCTTTTATGACCTTTCCCCAGATCTAGTCCAAGTCCACATGTTGCATCTGGTCAGTTTCGTTTCTTTAATCTCTTTTCATCTGGATTAGTCCCTCCACTTCATTTTTTTAATATTGTCTTTTTGAAGAGTCCAGGCCGGTTTTCTCAGAGTTCTCTTCTGTTCCTCTAAGCAATGCCTGCATTCTTCGTTGTTCCAATTCAGGAATGTTAGAGATGACGTGGAGCTCCTCATGTGTTCAGGTGGTTTACCAGCTGCCCTTTGTTTTAAGACATGAGCTGGATGACCTGCAACCAACCCATGCCCGAGCAATCTTTTACTGCTCAAGCTCTGCCGTGGCCTCAGATAGACTGCAAAGGAAAACTAAATAATAATGGATTCAGAAACTAACAGAAGATAAAAATAGACTTCAGGTCTGCTTGTGCCACCTAGTTGAAAAGTGTTTCTGGGGCCGGCCCGGTGGCGCACTGCTACAGTGCGCCGCTTGGGGGTGCGGTGGCGCTCGCACCGAGGGTTCGGATCCCACATACAGACCGGTTCCTGCTCACTGGCTGAGCGAGGTGCAGGCACGACACCGAGGGTTGCAATCCCGTTGCCAGTCCCGGTCCGGTACGGGCGCGACACTGAGGGTTGCGATCCGTTGACGGACATGAAAAAAGACAAAAAAAAAAAGAAAAGTGTTTCTGATTAGCACAAACCCATTAGGCCACAGTAAGAGCAGTGGAGCAGGGGACCCTATGACAGGCAGAGCTGTTCATCGTCATTTTGGGAGCACCTGCTATGTGCTAGCAGTTTATTCATACTCTGCTAATCCGCACAGTGGCAGTGCAGGGTGGGTGGAGGCCCCCATTTCCCAGGCACAGCTCAGAGGAGTTCTGCAGTGTGTCCGGAGGTGCCAAGGTGTCACGCTGTCGTCTGCACTTACGCCTGGTCCCCAGGCTCACGCGCTTTCCACTCGGAGTGAGAGGAGACATTCTGTTGGTAATTTTCTAAGAAAAAAATCAGTGTAGAACAAAAACCCACCAGACTGGACTGGCCGGTTAGCTCCCTTGGTGGAGCTCAGTGTTGTAACACCAAGGTCAGGGTTCGGACCCCTTATGAGCTGGCCGCAAAAACCAACACCAGACTGTGTAACTCGGGTAACTACTTGGGGGACGGGTTGTGCGTAGTTCCCTTTCTGGGGTCTGTCGGCTTGGTTGAGTTCAGAATATCAAACAGACTATTTTCAAGAGCTGGGACTGGATGCTCAGAGAGGCCACCTCGGCTGTCGTTCTGGAGCATTCTCAAGGACGCACCTTGAAATGGCTTCACTTCTCTCGTTGTCAAACTGTCACAGACAGCTCCGCACCACCCTGGGTGCCATTGCACACCACCTGGCACATTCATGGCTGAGAGAGGCACCTTGCACCCCGTCAGCCCGGGAGCAGCACACGTGTCCCTCCCAAAGTGACAAAGCAGTAGATGTTGTCAGGATCTGTTGTGTCAGGACGCGGACACCCTCTCCTGCTGTCGTCTTCAGGTGGAGAGCAGGGGAAGGGGTGGCTGGCGAGAGGTGAAGGGTGCGCCAGGGAGACAGGGAGCAAGGAAGTTAGAAAAAATAAAAGGAAAAACAGGGACGGCTACCATTTGCTGAGCGCTTATTACACGCTAAGCCCTGGGCTGGCTGCTGAGTCTGTTGTTAATTCTCACGGCGACTTTCCATGAGTGGACATCACCGTCCTCATTCTATAAATGCGGAAACAGGCTGACAGAGCTTAAGGAAGTTGTCCAAGTCCACACAGTCCGTGTCAAGACGAGACTTGCCCCCGGGGTCCTAGACTCCTTGCTTGAGATGATGATGATTTCTCCAAAGCCGAGAGAGCCGCTCTGAGGGGCTGGGACCACCTCTCAGTTCAGTAAAAATATTGAGTATTGATTGGTGGTGTGATTCAGGCAATCAGGACAAATTGTTCTGGTTTGGAGGTTTGTGGTTCAGTGTCCCCGGATTCTAGACAACCAGAGAGACGGTAAATGGAACCTAGGAGAAGAGCTTTAGTAAAAGAAACTTGGATTATGTCTCCTGGAAAAGAGAAGCCAGAGGAGTGGTTTAATAGTGACTGTCAAGTCCCCGGGATGGCAACTGGCAGTTCTCTGGCACCACAGGCAGAAGCACAAGGAGGACCTGGTTTGCAGTCCAGTGCGAGCTGAGTGCCAGGACAGATGTCCTGGGCACGTGGCCGTGCAGTGCCGACTCAGCCTCGGGCCGTGCAAGTTCCTCCTCGGGAGGGCTCTGAATACCCCGTGCACGCAGCGCAGCTGAGATGTCCCCCATGTGTCTCGGGCCTGCGGTGCCACGTGCTCCTTCTACATTGTCCAACAGCTAATGTTTATCGAGCACCCGCCACTAGCCAGGTCTGTCGTAGGTGCTTTCCATGTATCTCCTTGTGTCACTCTCTTAATCACATTTGCAGTGGGCACGGCCGTCCCCTTGGTGAGGCGTGGAGAGGTTAGGCAATTTGCCTAAAGCCATCTAGCTAGGGAGTGTCAGAACCAGGACTCAAACCCAGGCGGGTGGCCTGCTTGAGTGGCCTCCTCGGCTGCCTCTCTGACAGCCACGCAGATGTTACCACCCCACGTCCAGATGACGCCTTGCTGCGAAGAGGCTCTGCCAGGCTCTGAGGTCCATGTTTGGTGGTGCGTGTTGGGGTCCTGTCCTCTGCCTCCTCCTCATCCGTCTGCTCACCTTGGCGAGGTGGAGTTGAGGGTTTCTCTCTGCTCACGGGTCTCTCCGTTCCTCAGGGGAGCTGGAGAAGCAGCAGGGAACAAAGACGCTCTCCTTCAAGTCCAGCGGGGCCCAGGTGGACCCACAGTCAAGGCAAGGATCGCCTGCAGGTGAGCCTCAGCTCCGCCCCTGGCCAGACCCATGCGGGGGACACTTGCAGCCCTGGGCGGGCCTGGGGCAGTGGGGTGGGAGAGGTGCCTGTTTCTACGGCCGTGTCTTTCTGCTGAGGAGCTGCAGGCTTTAATAGTGAGAGTGAGGGGGAAGGAGGGAGATAAATGTGTCTGTTTTGCAAATGGCACCAGAGCCCGGGTCCATGTGAAATGCCACCATCCACCTTGGAGGAGGCAGGCAGAGGCCTGAGGCCCTGGTCCCAGTGGGGACACCTTCTACCTTCCTGTGGCCAGGCTCTGGGAAGATTGTGCTGGCTCATGGGGTGACTGGAGGTGTGGTAAAGAGAAGCCCCGTGAGAAGAACTCTCCCGACGGGAGCAGGGTAAGAAGAAAGGATAGGCAGAAAGCTCTGGAGTCTTGCTCTGCCCTGTATAGTCCTTTTCCTGATGAGTCACAAGCTCTCTCCAATCTCAGATCAGGTCAGCCCACTGAAGTCCAGATAAGCCCTCCCACTCACCTTCTCGAATGGTGTCTTCACACTGAATTGTTCACGTGAAGTCAGCCTCAGGCTTGGTATCTTCTTGGACCAGGTCCCCTAGACCTGTTTCCTCCTCCCTGACCTCCCCCAACCTTTCCACCTCCGCCCCTAACTTCCCCCACCTGAAGGGAGTACAGGAAGAGCGGCCACCCACCTCCACCTGCCCCAGATAAGGAGGGAGCAGGAGAATTAACCCCATCCCAGCAAAACCCCAGCAAACCATCCCTCCGGAGCTGTGGAGTGAGAGGTGACCTCAGTCACTCGCTCTCACGTTCAGCAAACGCTCTCTGAGCCCCCAGGCCCTGTGCTGAGCACGGGAAAGCCAGGGCCTAGCAAGACATTGGCTGGAGCTGGGAGCTCCAGTGGGTTCCACACGGTCCATCAGACCCGGGATGGACAGCGGCTCAGAGACTGGCCGTGTCATCCAGGACACGCGGTTCCCTTCCGAGCAAGGCGTGGGCTCTTTTGGCCCCACTGTGACTCTCACTGTGATGTCGTCTCTGTATGTGGGCTCGACCTGCCGTTGTGCGCCTGTGATTCTCCACCCTGCCTGATTGCAGTCGCCTCTCATGTCTGCCAGGGCAGAGTACTCGGGTCACTGCTTGTTTTCACAGCTGTCTAATCCCCAGAGCGGTCCTCAGCTGCGATTTATTCTGGGCCATCCTGCCCCACACCCTTCACACGCACCCCCCCACCTGTCTTTTGGAAGTTGCAAGCCCTGGTCAAGCTGATGCATGTCCCCAGGGTCTTGTCCATCGGGCGCCTCCATAGTGGGGTGTTTCTCGTTCCCTAACAACCGTGCAGAGGCTGAGCACAGCAAGGGAACTCCTGCTGGGGGTGGAGTGGGAGCCGCGGGTGGGGGGTGACTTAGCCAGGAAGAGACAAGCTGCTCCTGGGGGTCTGCAGGGTTCCTCCTGCTGTGCCAGGCCAGTCAGGACGCTCCAGTGGTAATTAGAGCCTTTATGGGCCCTTACATGTGCCAGGCACTGTGGTGAGCACTGTGTGGGCCTAGCTCATGGAATCTGCACCACTCAGCAAAGTTGGCGGGGATGGCAGCAGAGGAGGATGGCCTTCCCTCCAGGAGCCTGTGACTGAAGGAGGCAGATTGTCATGGTGCCCACAAACCAGAGCCCAGCTCATAAAACCAGCTTTCACGGTCCACACCGGGAAGGCTTTGACTGTGGGTAAATTAGACTCAACAATGCCAATGTGACAAAGACAGTCAGAGATCTTCTAGTCTGGGGAGGTCCAGAGAGGTGTAGCATGTTGCCCAAGGTCACACAGTTTCTGAGCAGCAGAAGTGGGTGCCCGATGTCCAGTCCACCACCCGGGCTGTGTCTCAGTCAGGAGTGGCGTGGCACCGGCCTTGCCGCCCATGCCATCTCATCGCAGAGATGCTGGGGGGGAGGGGGAGGGGCGGGGGCTCGTGCCGGGGCTGGTGGAGAATGAGCCCTGTGCTCTTTGCTTTGCAAGCCAAGAGGGACGCTGCGCTCGGGGAGAAGCCCGCGGAGAGCACGGTGGAGGTAAGTGGAGGCCTGGTTGCCCAGGTGAGTGATTCTGTGCCCCGCTGTCCTCCTTCTCACCGTCTCTGTTGTTTCTCTTCTCAGGTATTAATCAATGCCTCCCCAGCCCGACTCACCATTTTACCAATTTCAAGAGATACAATTAAAAGTTACTGCTAGCATGGGTAACGCCACTGCTCCAGCGCCTCACTGAGCCGCAGCACTTCCTCCCCTCGCCCCGCCAAGCCCAGCTCCAGACCAACACCCATGACCCCCCAAATCCATGTCCCCAGCAACCCGCTCCCCAAATACTTGCTATACCAGAGGACCCAAATTCCCCTCCCCAAGTCCTCCCACCCTCCAGCAGGGGGAGCCTGGGCTCCTTCCAGAGTGTCCCCTGAAGTCAGGTCCCCAGGTGACCGCTTCTGGGGCAGACCCTGCCCTCTTGGCTGCGTCTTGGGGAAGTTGGAGACAGAGTAGGGCAGCCGGGAGGTGGCGCTTCTCCCGGAATAGCTGGTCCATCTGGAGAGCTGGCCGCGAGGAGGGACGTGTGCAGGAGAAAACGAGGCAGAGTGTGGGGTTGTCCCAGGGGGTGTCTTCAAGGCAGGAGCTGATAAATCTGAAGACTGTCCATGTTGGAGGGAGAAGATGCTTGTCCCCAGCCACATAGCAAGGCACTGGGAAAGTAGCAGTGGCCGCTGGTCCCTGCCAAGCCCCCAAAGTGTCACCTGTGAGGGTCACGCATTGCCCCTCCAAGCCTCGCTGGACCCCAGCCCTCCCCCACTAGATCCCTGGCACCCCGTGAGCCCTGCCCCTTCCTGCCAGGCCTCCAGACCTCTAGCCGCTCACGCAGTCACCTCCTCTCCCAACCCCCCCTCCAAGCTGGAGGGCCCCTCTTAGACGTCTGGGGGAGGAGCCCTGCCCAGCCATCTGACTAAGCTCTGGGAAGCTGCAGGTACCCCAGGGGAACTCAGTTTCCTCTCTCTGTCCCCACGGCCCCCACTCCACACACCTGTGTCTGGAGGAGGCACCTTCACTGGAGGAGCTTCCTGCCCCAGCAGCTGACAAGCCCCCCGGGTGGGTATTCTGTCCCCTGTCCCCTCCCCATCTTCCTGCGGCTACCCATTCTCTAGCCTTGCAGATCAACATGCAGAGTCCCTGGCACTCCCGCTGGCTCTCCCAGCCCCGCCGTGCCTGAGCCTGAGCTGCCCGGGGAGGACAAGCAGTCCCAGGGCCCCTTCCCCACCGCCCTGCCAGCCCCGGCCTCCTGCACAGAGGGCAGCCTTGCCGCCCACGGCCTCCCACCTGGACCTGAGCCCTCTTGCCCTCCACCCTCTCTGGTCATGGCCTGGCCAAGCCCCTCCAGCAGCTGCTTCTCCATTTCTCTGAGCTGTCCCCTGCCACTCAGTCCATGCTCTCTCTCCTTTCTCTCTCTCATGAGCGGGGTGAGACGGGGCTAGGATGAGAGGGTTCTGCTGTCGCTTCCTGCTTTCCACTCCTGACCATGAGCGATGCCGGGTCCAGGCTGGGGGGAGGGGGACCATGGAGGGGCGGCCAGAGCACAGGAGAGGAAGAGAGGACCCTCTGGCAGCAGTGGTGACAGAGGCATCCTGCCCGACTGAGGACCACAGAGGGCTCCCTGAGGGGAAGGGGCCCCAGCCCTGCCCTCTGCCTGCTGTGTTGTCTTGGACAGTGAGGGGCTCGGGGGCTCCTTCATGTGTTTAGGGGGATTTCGGGCCTGGAAAATGCTGCTGAGGTTGGAGGTTGAGAATGGAGAATAAAGCCTGCCATGTGCTGAGCTGCCGAGTGTGGGGGTTGGGGCTGGGGAATATTGAGGGGCAGACAGAGACCTGGGGAGCCTTGAGAGGAAGCAGCCCACTGGAGTGCACAGATGCAAGAATGGGGTTCCCGAAGTCACACCCTTAGCCAACAAAGAGGATTAGGAAATGCTGGCTTAGGGCTCTGCGAGTTTGGGCTGGGCTCTCCTGGTCTGGCCTGGGGTAGGGTCCCCTCCTCTTTAGCCTCAATTTGCCCCCCACTCTCTGAGCCGCCAGCGCCAGGTGTTGGTGCCCAAGGACAGACAGCAACCCAATAGAAAGTGTCCTCAGGAGAAGGGGACAGAGAGGGTTGCAGTGTGTCACATCTGCAGACTGGGGGGATTGGGGACATAGCACGTGAGGAATTAAGCCCTTCTCCATCCAGAGTCCTCTAGCCTCCCATCTCCTCCACCTCCTCGTGCTAGCAGAGGAGGCTGCCCGGGCTAGTTCATAGTGACCTCTGTGCTCTAAGGGAGGGGCTCACGAGACGCCTCCTCCTTCCCCACCCAGGGGATAGAGCCTTTTCTGTATCTGGGTATCCCCTTCTGTATTGGGGTGAATTTTACCAGGACCCAGCTCTGGCCAGAGAGGCAGCTGGGTATCTGCCTCTGCCCACGGCCGTCCGGGCTGCTCTCAAATACTGGGCTGTGGCCTTGGGGACTATGGAGGACAGGGTAGGTCTGGAACCCTCCTCAGGGGTTCCTATCAGACAGCTGCGATGGGGTCCTCTTTAACAAAGCCAAGGAAGGAGAGGGGCTTGCAAGTCTCAGAAATGCTGATTGTCCGTGTCCCCCGTTCACCTCAGCACACCCCTGGGTGGCATGGAGGGGCAAAGACTTGACCCTGCTTTTCAAGTTCAGAGGCTGGTAGGGAGGGAGGTGGGGAGAAGTTACCTGTGGTGCAGGGCCACCCACAGGCCCATGAAGTCAGTCTGCAGAGCTGTGCAGAAACATCTCACAGCGAGACAGGCCCACGAGCTGCGGCCGCTCACAGTCAGCAGCAGCACAAGGCAGTCTCTCGACTCCACACTCGCTCCTGGGCCAGAGCCAGGGTCAGAGCCCAGTTTTCCTCTGGGTGGAGGAACTGGGAAGAGTCAGAGAGAGGGCTGGGAGTGCCCGACGGCAGCGGGCAGCAGGAGAGGGAGGGGGTCAGGGGAGGCTCAGGGCAGCCGGTCCCGGCAGCTGGGAATTAGTCTTGTAACATTTCATGCTTCTCTGGCTGTTTCTAAACTAGGTGTCAATTCACAACAGGCTTCAAACGTCCCAGCACAGCTCCGGGCTGGGGGCCGAGAGGGAAGTACCTGTGCCAGACCTGCAGCCTAACCCTTTGCGAGAGCAGCCCCCGCCGCTGCCACCACTGCCACCCACACCCCCGGGCACCCTGGTGCAGTGCCAGCAAATCGTCAAGGTCATTGTCCTGGACAAGCCCTGCCTGGCCCGCATGGAGCCTCTGCTGAGCCAGGCTCTGTCCTGCTACGCCTCATCCTCCTCCGACTCCTGCAGCTCCACACCCCTGGGCGGCCCCGGTTCCCCGGTCAAAGTCATCCACCAGCCTCCGCTGCCCCCGCCCCCACCCCCCTACAACCACCCTCACCAGTTCTGCCCGCCAGGCTCCCTGCTGCACCGGCGCCGCTACTCCAGCGGCTCTAGGAGCCTGGTGTAGACTCTGCCTCCACCACCCTTCTGTCCCAGGAGGGCTGGCTGCTCCCCACACCTGGCACGATGCACTCCTGGTCACTGATCACCGTCGTGGAAAGAGAACCCCAGTCCCTGGCACCTGGGTTTGCCTTGTCCCACCATCCTCCCCTTACTCAGATGACCTCCCCCCAGATCTGGAGACACCACCTTCCTGTCCTGGGGCCTTTCACAGCCAGACGAGGCTCCTTGTCCTCTGGCTGCTGCTACTCTGCCCAGTTGGACCATGGGGAAAACTGGAGCTGAGGGTCTAACTGGCTTGCAGGCTTTGAGTCTGTTAGTGCCTGGGGCCTCCGGCTGGTGGGTAGGAGGAAGAGGCCAGGCCACCAGTGTGTCCTGCTCACACCCAGCACAAGGTGCATCTGTGGCCATGCTCAGGGGAGGAGGGCTGCCAGCTTCCTGGAGGGGCTGGTGGATTGGAGCATGAGGGGGGCCTTCTCAGCTGCCCCTGGCTCCCCAAGCCTGGCAGTCTCAGGAGGCTGTTACTTGGTCCCCAGGGACATTGGCTGTCCAGACCACATCCTTCCGCCTCCTCCCGGGGCCGCCTCCTGCTTTCTCAGGAGCTGCCCAGGCTCCAGTAAAGCTTCAGAAAGGGAGGAAGGAGATGGAGCACTCTCAGCTCTCTTTAGGTCAGTTCAACAGGGCTGTGGAATCTTGAGGTCATGAATCTACAAAATGCACCTTTGTAAAGAGGGTTCCCTAGTCCCAGACAATATCCAACTAACACCAAGTGCACACAGGCGCATGCACATAAACGTACGAGAGAACCAGGTTGGTTTCTCCCACTGTGGAAGCAGGTGCAGGGAGATGGGGTGGAAACTGGCCCAGCGGAGGTGGGACTTGCAAGACCTCCGTGGCCTCCAGGAGGGGCTTGGGTGCAGAGGTGGGTGAGAGAAGCAGGGACTCTGGAGGTGCTTGCATTTCCCCCACTGCCCCTCAGCCTTTAAATGTCCCCCATCCTGGGGAGGGGGCCAGATCCGCCTCCAGCAGAGGCAGCAAAAAGAGTCCCAGACCCTCAAAATTGCAAAGGAGAGCTAGGCAGGGCTCGCTGGCCTCCCAGGCCCAGCAGGATGGGATTGCCAACCTTAGGTGGCTCCACGGAGCCCAGGCTTTGGGGAGGGCCCCCTCCCTGGCCAGATGAGAGGAGCCCACCCTCAAAGTCCACAGGGGCAATACCGTGGCCTGCCCCAGTCATGGCCTTTTAGGAAGTGTCTGTGCCAAAGCTGGCCAGACTCTTCAGTCCTGTGCCAACAGCTCATCAGTGTCCTTCATTAAGATCCTCTCTCACTTGGAGCCTGTTGTTCAGCTCCCGACAGATGAAGAGAATATTGGCCAAGTCTAAAGCGAATATGCTTCTCCCCAAGCCCCTAACCCATGCCCCGCCCTGCAGTACCCCTGGGCCCTGTAGGAGGTGCAGATAACTCCCCACTCTGGGAGGTTCCAGATGACCTAGTTTTGTGTGTGTGCGCGCGCGTGCACGCACGTGCTCACTGGGCATCACCATGATGTCACCGATGAGTTTATTTCTAGCCCTGTCTCTGTCCGCCCATTTTCCATAACTTGTGGCCAATTTGCTGTCTCCCCTGTGGCTCCCGGCACAGCTGCTCCTCCCTGTCCTGTTGTCCCTGCCCCTCTTGTGTCTTTTGTAACTGGGATGCTTAATCAGAGCCTTTCGGAATGGGGTGGCTGACAGAGGAGGTGCACAGATTCAGATACCTCTGCTGCCCGCAGCCCGGGTGGCGTCACCCCTGAGTGGTGGAGGCCTGGCCGGAGGTGCCAGGGCTGGGGGAAGTGGAGTTGTGGGGTGGGAGTGGATGCCTCTTGAAAGTGGTGGTGAAAACGGTGTGAGAATCAGGAGGCGGGAGTTGGGAGTGTGCAGAACCACGAGTGCCACTACTGGTGGGGCCCTGGTGGCTGGGGCTGCTCAGGAAGGGCCCTGTCCAGACGACTCCACCCCACAGGCTCCTCACAGCGTTTCCCTCTCAGCAAGCGCCCTCCTTCCAGATGAGGCCAGAGGCCTCAGGGCTGGCACGTGTATGGACCTCTCTCTGAGGACCTGGCCTCTCCGGCGTCTCGGCACCCCTCCACAGTGGGGAGGCTCTCCCCCCGGGTGCTGTGGTGGCCACCTTGGGCCACGCTGGCCACTCTGCGTCCTGCCATAGGAAGCAGACCAGCAGAGCTAGTCCTGGTCCAGGAGGGGCTTTTAGTCCCTGATGGCCTGGGGCAGGATACGGCCAGCCCTCCTCACGGCTGGCGAAGCAAGAGTTCCCAGTCCCTGGTCAGCCAGCAGGCTGAGGCTGGGGCCCATCTCTGCCCCCCTGCCCAGAGATCTGGGAAAAGCCGCCTGTTCCCTCCCATGGCGGCGGCCGTGGCAGGGCCTCAAGCACTCCCAGAGGGCTCAGCAGGAGATGCTCTCGGATCCTCCTGCTCTCCCAGGGTTAAGGGGGCAGTCAAGTGCTGACTGAGCCCCTGGACCCAGTCACCCCAAGATTGCCCCACTCTATCAACCCTCTAGGCCTTACTTTTGGGGGGACCTGGGCCCCTCTCCTGATTTTATCCATCTGGCCCCAACTGGCTTTCCCACCCACTTTCAGGCAAGTCTCACCTCCAGACCTGAAGCAAGGCCCCGCCCGGTAGCTTGTCCCGGAACCCTGACTGTCTCCAAAGGCGTCTTGACTCCACACATGCTTATCGGCCCTCGGTCCTTGACCCCCAAGCCTACATGTCCCCCATAGCTGCCAGATCGTCTCTTTGGTAGGCTTCCCTGACAGCTGTCTGTGCGTCTGTCCCTGCGTTCTGCCGTGCATCCCTTCTCGCTGCGCACTCTGCCCACGTGCCCGCACCCTCTCGGGGAGCAGCCTCTCTAGAGAAAGGCAGGGAGGCTGCACCCAGCACCTGATCCAAATGGCAAATATTTTGTAACAAAATAGCCCAGAGGTATTTTATCTGTTCAATTCATAGAGTTTTAGAGATTATATTGAAATATGTCACTTGAGCGAACTGTGTCGGTTCAGTTTCTCCTTTCTCCCAGAGAGAGGCCCGCCTGAAATCAGAGTGTCTGCCGGGCAGGGCCTGGGGCGGCTACGGTGCCGGCTGGTCTCCTCCTGCCACAGTGGCCTCACTCCTTTACCCCAGGACAGTGTGCTTCGTGCCCTGCTGTGGCATGACTAGGAGGCCCTGCCTTAAATCAAGAAGCATGGGGAAGGGAAGGGAAGTCACCCAATGGTGGTGCCAGCAGAGCAGGGGCACAGGCCTGGCCCACGCCCCCTCCCCTCACTAGCACACACACAGCTTTTAAAAGCCAGCTGAGAGCAGGTTACAATGGAGACCAGAGGCAGCTTGGAGAGGAAGCACCTCAACGGCCAGTATGCATCCAGGGAGTAAGAGACGAGATTAGGACCAGCTCTGGCCTGCTTGGTTTTCTGCAATGGAGACCAGGGTATGTTGGGAGGTTGGGGGAGGCCATTCCACTGATCGCAGTTGGCCAAAGCCTCACGTGGTTTTCACCAGGCATCAGCTCCAAAGCCTGACTTCTAGCTGCAGGGTCTGGTTTGACAAGCCCCAAGGTACATGCTTCCTGAAATGGGTCAACACACACAGGTGAAAGGACTGGAGGAGCAATGTTGGGGAAAGTGCACAGAGCCTCAAAGAGACTTTAGCAAACATTTCCTGAGCCCTGCAGTGCTCCAGGTCCCCTGCTGGGAGCTGGCAGAGATGCCAGGAGTCTGGAAGGATCAGACAGCAGCCAAGTGGCTGCGGAAGGAGGGAAGACCGGAATGAGGGTCAGCAAGAGGCACAGGGCTTGGGTGAGTGCTCACAGCTCTGGGATGGGTGTGTGTGATAGAGTGACCTCCTGGCAGGGGAGAGAGGAGAGAGCCTTCCGCAACGCTAAGGCACCATAGCACCACGACACTGTGGGAGGAGAGCAACTGGCCAGGACAGCTGGTCCCAGGACACCTGCAAAGGGGGCGCCAGCTCTCCTGGTGACCAGAACTCTGAACACCCAGAAACCCAGACAGCTCTGTGCCTTCCTGAGGCCGGGCCCTACTGTCCCCTGTTAGAGTCAAAGGGGACATGACTTCACCCTTCTTCCCAGGAAATGGGAAATTCCAGCAGAAGCCAGCAGCCAGCTGTGACCAGTCCTGTCCTGGGAATTCTCTGACCCAGGAAGCTGAGCATTGCCCCTTGAGAGCACCTCTGAGGGCCCAGCTCAGCCCAGGCCTGGGAGAGGGCCTAGTGCCAAAAGGGTCCCTCTGTTGTCTGTGCTGAGATGTGGGTGACAGAACCATTGTCCAAATCTTCTGGCCCTGAGGTCATCTCAGGGGAGAGCCCGTCCCTCCAATGAGAGGAGACTATCCTGTTCTGAGTGAGCCTGTCTGGTGGTCCAGGAGCGTTGGGGTCCATCTGTCATCAGGATGGAGAGCTGCAGCCAGTGCTCCTCCCTTTATAATGACTCTTTGCAGGTGGGAGACTCAAACCCATCAGTCATTGACCTGGAGTGTTTCCAGCAAGGGGTGCCGGGATTGTCTGGCTTCTGGCTGAGAGCAATGGGCCAGAATAAGATGCCCTGCTGGAAACCAGGGCTGATTCAACAGGCTCGTGAATACCTGCCGAGAGCCAGGCACTGTTCTAGGTGCTGGGGGCACACGGGGAATGGGACGGGGAATGGGACGGGGAATGGGACGGGGAATGGGACGAGTGAATGTCCTGCTAGCAAGTTCACATTGGGGATGCCACCAAGAGTACACAAGACATGGACCAACTATTTTCACATAGTGGATGGTGATACAATAGGGTTGATGGGGAGGGGCATTCTAGAGTGAACAGTCAAGGAAAGCCTCTCCAAAGAGGAAAACTCAACAAAGTCAAGGGCAGGTGGACAGTTCAGAGACCACGCTACATGGTCAATGACCACATCTTTTCGAGGCAGAAACCAGGACGATCTGCCAAAGGACTATTTACTGATATTTGAATTTACTTACATGACAAAAATCTTACTAAAGTGTAAAAATGGGTTTAAATACCACCTTTATTGAGGAAATCATAAAACAGGTCTTCTAGAAAATCCAGGACGGATGGCCACCATAATCACAGACCAGGAAAAGAGGTGGATTGAAGGCAGGCGGTCAGGTGGCTCCAGCAAAGAGGCAGTGTAAAGGCAGGCAGCCCCGCAGGAGGACCCCAGCCACCAAATAGACCCCAGAAAACAGACACCAGCAGCACCAGGGCCAAGCTCCCTGACACTGAGCAGCTGCGGTCCAGAGCAAGGGCGTGCTTGTGTGATTCCAACGCTGATGGGGAGCAGCCCACTTCAGGGCTTGGTCAGCCTGCTGACAGCACTCTGTCCACCTCCTCTCCTGTCACCCCAAACCACGCAGACTTAGGTTTACTGATTTTAAATAATGGATGGACTCCGTGACCTGTTGGCCACCTGTCCCGGGGCTGACAAGATTTCACACCTCCATGTGAGCAACGTAAAACTGCAGCAAGGTTGATTTCTCCTGCAGTAGGGTGGGTCCAAGTCCCCTAACCCCAACCCTGACATGCATGGCTAATGACCATTGCTTTCTGGGAGTCACCATTGGTCAATGTATGGTGACACCAGGATGAAATAAATTTGCCAGCCGGCCGTGGTACCCTCACTGGCCACCTTGAAGGAAGGCATTTCGATTGGGAGGTGGTTGGAGAGCAGGAGGCCGCAGGCTGAAGATGTGGACGATCTGAGCCTGCAGACCTCCCGGTGCTCACCAGTGCTCACGCTCTGACCGCAGGGTCACCTGCTGTGCTCGTTAGCTCCCCACTGCTCTGCCCTCAGATGCTCAGGGCTGCTCTCCTTTGGGACTGCACACTACTCTGGCAACCTGTCAACCTCCCTGTCCATGGGGTCCCTCTCTTACTCCCTCACCTCCCACGAGCTCCCTTTCCTCTGACCACGGTGAGAACCACAGGGAGCCAGGTCAAAGGCACAGGTCAGGACCAGCAGGAGAGAAGGGAGCACGGAGAGTGTCCATCCCAGGGCAAAGCGTAGCTGCTCAGGAGCAAGGTCTGCTCTGCCCTCTCTCCGGGCAGACCCTGGGGGGTGAGGGCAGGGGAGGTGTTCCCTCCAGGAGAAGGCAGGCGCAGCAGAGCCCAGGGACAGGCCCCAAGCCCTGACTTGGAGTCAGGGAGGTTGGATGAGAAAGCAGGAATAGGGGGAGGGGGCAGGTCCAGAACTGGCCCCACCAGGAAAATTCCATTCTGGATGTGGCTGGAGGAGGAGGGAACTAAAGCTGGAGAGATGGGGGGGAGGGATGGGAACTCTTTCCTCCCCTCTCCCTCCCCCCTGCCCCCTGCAGGTCTGGATGGCTTCTTTCCCTTGGGAACCAGGCAGCCTAACCCCACTAGCCAGCCTCTAGTGCAGCTGTTCCATGACCCTAAGGACTGAGTGACTGCAAGCTTAACTGTGGGAAAACTGTAGGAACTGGCTTCAGGGAAGACAGGAGACCTGGCTCTTGTCCTCAAGTTTCCAGCTTCCTAGACAGACCTGCCTTGCCCTCCCCTTCCTGAGAACCCCCAATCCCCTTCCATCTCAAGATGCCTGGACTAGGCACCATCTCCCCTGAGTCCCCCAGGGGAATAGAGGGCAGGGGGTGAGGGAGCCTTGTCCATCTCCATTGGGAGGCCCAGAATCCCCAATGTCGGACCTGCAAGCAGACTCACAGGTTAGTCCAACTAACCAGGTTAGTTATCCTTTTGTGGATAAGAGTACTATTTAACTAAAGAAGTTATGAAAAAAAACAGAATAAGCCCAAAATAAGTAAAGGAAGGAAATAATAAAGACAAAAGCAGAAATAATGAAACAGAAAATACATATATGTTACCAGGCACAGGTCCAGCTGCCTGTCCCCTTTCAAAAACAAACCACTCAAAAGTCGAATGGTGACAATGGGAGTCAGCTTTTGTTCAGGAACACCAGTGACCTGAGCAGAGATGTTGGGCTCATCCTTCTCTCTGGCTAGTCCTCAAGGAGAGTGGCCAGGATAAAGCCACCTCCATGACTCAGATTTACGGAGGGGTTTTAAAAGAGGGTGTTGAGGGAATGGAACGTGGGAAGTGAAAAGCAGGAGAGGGGGTGTGAGCCGTGGGTGCCATGTAAGGAGCCGAGTGCACGGTCTCACCAAGGCTCCGTGTGGTTTCTGCCCCCGTCCTTGCCGCTGTCCAGGGTCCTGCTGGAGGGTGGGGTCAGCACGCCTTCACTGATGTCTTGCCTGATTTCCCGAGGTCTGGGTAGTGTGCACCTTGTGTTAAGTTTGCAGCTTCAGGCTGGCTGGAAAGCAACTTCACATTCATGTAAATAATGTCAGCTTGTCCCATGACCAAGTTTCAAAATATCAAATAACCGTGGGGAAAGGGGGAACTCAGAAAAACGCATATAAGATAAAAACTGTGTCCTTTTAAAATCTTTTAAGAGTCCATGCGGTTTTAGGTCTCAACATGGCTTCAGTCCTTACTCCAACACGTACAATAGAAAGGACTAACAAAGCCAAAAGTTAATTCTAAGAAATGACTAATAAAGTTTACAAACCTCTGATAAAACTGATCATGAAAAAAGAGTCAGCACAAATAAGTAAATTGAGGACCCACAAGAAGGAGGTACCTATGAATACTGCAGAGATTTTTTAAAAAATAGAATGATACAAATAAACTATAAACCTTATAGCAATAAGTTTGAAAATCTTCACAAGATGAACACTATCCTAGAAAAATGTCTTACCAAAACTGGCTCAAGAACAAATAGAAAATTTGAGATGTGTAACCACTAAAGAAATTGAATATGTAGTTAAAAGTTTATTCACACCACCCCCCAAAAAGACCCCACACGCAACACCAGGTCAGATGGTTTTACAAAATTCTACTATACAAGGGTACTTCAAAAAAATTCATGAAAAAATAAGTTAAAAGATAATACAAATCTTTCCATGAACTTTTTTTTTCCTTTTTGTCTTTTTTCGTGAC